TTTTTTTTTTCTTTTGTAAATTTTGATACTTTTTAGATTATAATTGTTCTTTATTTCATAAATTAAGGTTTCATATTTTTAATTTTAGAATTTCTGCATGCCATCTTACGAGATTTAAACTGATGATCTATAATCCGGAAAAATCGATAATCCGGAATCGCCGAAGTCCCGACGAGTCCGGATTAACGACTTTTGACTGTACTTCTCTACATTTCTTCACAAACTCCATTAAATGGAAAATTTCACCTTGTATGTGATATCAGAAAAGCTTCAAGTTTGTGGCTATCAATCACAATGTTTAACGAGCGGCTATCAATCATAATGTTTAACTATCATCCACTGTTTATTCTTGGCAATGTATCATGAGATTTGCAACTAAAGAGATGTTGTTTGACTAAATTTTGTGTTGCTTCTATTGCATGCTGACAAAGTTAAGCCTGAATTATATTAGTGTAGTTATTTATCATACTTAACATTTATTTTCTGCACATCTTTAAAATGTATTGGAGTCCCTAACAAATAAATTCCCACATATACTTAAAGCTAATCCAGGTCTGGCACTAGACATTTTGTGTCCTGGTGTAGTGTCTGCAGGTTCTAAATTCTAAAAGTTTTGTGTCCAAAAAATGTATCCTTCACTAAATTATATTTTTGCCATCCCTTAATTTTGTTGCTTAGTGCTTCTCTAAATTCTGAAAATTTTTCCTCCTCCAAATTCTGTCACCTGGTGTGGCCACACTATCTTTGACTCCGGCTCTGGGCTTATCCGAATAACAAATCAGTAATTCTCAGTTCAAACATCACAAAATATGATCTTTTGGTGTATGAATATTATTTACAAAATCTATATTTTGAATATGGAAAGAAGCGTAATTTCAACATAAAAGGTTACAATGCTCTTAGATATTCAATTACTAAAATTTTTTTGGAAAATTATGTAGACCACTTCATTAAGTCATTTCTCAAACTGCAGTGTGTAGATAGCCGTGCTATAATGAAAGCAAAAAATGATAAATAAGTATTCACCAGGTTGGCATCAGGGATGTAAATTATCCATTCGGTGTAAAATTAATGATGTTTTGACGTAGAATGCTTCAGTTTGAGATACAAAGCCAAGCAGAAGGCACCTACAGAGCCAAATTATTGATGAAACAGTTTTATGGAAATAAGTAATTCAGTATAGATATATTTTAATTAGTGCCAAAGAGAAATTAAGTATCGAGGTTCTCCACATGTTTTTTATGAAAAAATATCAAATGCACATGCATAAAGCATACAAAAACATTTTTGAATAAATAAATGCCGGGGTTTGGAGGTCCAGATTTAGGTCATTGCAGATATTAGACATCAAGTTTCAAGCTCTGTACTGTATTTATTTGTTTTTCCCAGGCATTTTTAAAAAATGATTAAAATTTGAAACATACCTTCTGGAACAACATGCAGTTGAGTATTTCAAAGTTGTGGGATTCTGGTGTGGAGCAGCATAGCAAGAGCTTTTGTTGCTCAGAGTGATCCATTTTCCATCTCTCTAAATGTACTTTAAAAAAATCTGTGAAATGTCAAAACAATGTATAGGTAAATAAATTTTTTTATTTCAACATTCTAAGGTGCTATTTGTTTTTTTGTTACCAGAATCGTAATGCCATTCTTAAAGTTTCATTGCTTCAATTGCTGTTCCTAGACAATACAGTAAAATTTCTTGAATGTAAGATACTCAATATTTAGGTCTTGGGATTTTCTTAACCAATATGCATTTACAAAATAAGTTTCACAAAAAGTAATACTTAAGGCACTTGTGAGGAAAATTTGAAGTAGTATTACAATATTTTTAACTACATTTTCAAGAGACTGCAAACTATCATTTTCCCTTGTTTCGTCGTTTTAAGCAGTAACAGAAATAAAACTCTGAAATATTTCTCTCTTAATGAAGAGCTCTTACTTATTTATGTTACTATGATCATAAATTAATTGAGATATGTAATTTTAAATCAAAAATTTCAATGGAGCAAGAAAATAATAGCAAGAATATTAAGTTATCGAAATCGTTTTGTAACTTCTTTGAATACTCTGTCCAGTGTAAGAATAATTGTCTCCTTAGTTCAATTCTATATGTCATTCCATGATTCTTAACCTTACCTGTGACCGAGCTGATAAGATGTCTGAATATTGGGAGCACCTGGGAGCAAATCTCAAAAACAGAACGGGTGCATGATCATTCTTGTGGTTTATTAATGTTGTATTGTTACTTATGTATTAGCACAACCATCTGGGTACAACTGGATGATTTTTTAAAACTGAAATGGTAAAAGTTACTTAGCAAGTTCAAGTTGGTGCTTTTCATGACTTTTTAAAAAGGTTTCCAAACTGTCAGTATATTTCATAAGTTGGCAAACCTTATCAACTTATTAAAAGGAAACATAAGCAATTTGAAATACAAATTTTAATTTATTAAATAAGGATTATTTGGGTACATTAAAAAAAATACCTTCTTCCCCAGATCTTTCTGTAATTTTTTTTTCTTTATTTTTTCCCCTCCAAGTACACAGTGATTTGTTTTCTCTTAAAATAAAAATATATCAGAGAATTGCAGAGAACTTCGCATCCTGAAAATCTCAGCAACACTGGTTATTTATCAAATGCATCTCCTTGTTGCTCACTTTAGAGATTTTGCAGCAAAATTCTGTGTTCCTGCTGAAATCTTACGGCAGTTTGTTCCGTTGCTGGCAGATTCCTCAAACACGTATTTTAATATCAAGTTTAAGGCAAAAAATATAAATTGCAAAAAATTGAAAAATATATAAATATAAATTACAAAAAAAAATATTTAATTTATGAAAACATTGGAACTTATGTAGTAAAAAGTAACATGTAAGTACCATTGTATTCATGCATATATGGTGTGAATATGAATCTCTTTCTAGTTTTGAAACCATTCATGAAAAATTTTAGTTCTTCATGAAGACATCTATTCCTCTCAACAGATAATTGTAGTGAGCTCTATTATAATCAAATTAATCCTAATACTTCTTTTTCTTCAAAGACCTATATGACTAGTCTTTATCATATTTCGCATGAAAAAATATCACTGACAAAAATATGTTGCCTGGGACAGGTTGCCCCCTCCATTTCCCACTAGCTACGCCAACAGTAAAAGTATGCATTAATAGGCATGATATTCGAAAATGAATAAACAATAGAGATATAGTGTAAAAAATTATTATAAGTGATTTAAATTTTTACATGCTATATTTGTAACATTCTTTTAAACTTTTGCCAGAAAGATTGGTATGTCTCCACCATCTTTGATGGTCCATGGAATTTCATAATCAGATCAGGCATTTTACTTGCATATGTTTAAGGCATAAATATTTCGGCTTTTGTGTTTGAAATGCATTTTTTCCCTCAAATATTTTACATAATTTTAAATGTAGGCTTTTGGTATACTTTAATTATTTCTTTCATATAAAATTATGAAAGCAGTTTGATATCTAAAATGATATCAAATTTCATTCATTCATTTCACATTTCTATGATGAACTGCACATTTGGTAAACTCAACTATCCAGAATTTACATATATCTACCATTCAGCATTTCATGAGCTTTCAAGTATAGTCGAGTTTTTACTGTATATGTACCCTTACCTTTGAGGAAAATGACAGAGTGAAAAAACATACCCTTATGCACAAATATTCATAACACTAAAATTTAAAGCAGAGAAGAGCTAATAAATTCTTGTGTCCATGTGTTGGCTGGACTTGTATCCGATCAGTTTCAGTTTCTTGGGTATATAATCAGTCTTCACAGTGACTAGAACCATCGTTTATATGGTGGTAGGCACGGGCTTGGCAGGGACTGTACTGGTACTGTTTTGTCTGTTGCCTTCGATGTGGGGACACTCTCACGTAGATATTAAGGGCTGTGCGGGGAAGGGGGTTAAGCTCCCCACTCAGCCACTGGCGATGGATTGTGGCTATGAACATGAGAAGTCCCCGTGGGCTGATCGGGGAGTGTGGTGCCCCTCTGTACATTCTCCAAGCTGTGGAGAGCTATTAACATGTTAAGGCAGCTCATAGAAGCAAGCCAGGAAATGGATGCTCCACTCTTGGTGTTAATGTGTCCATGTGAGATTAAAACATGATTCATAAGAATATGCATCTTAGAACAGTTTTTGCAGAGTTGGATTATAACTTTTAACTCTCTGTTTGCTCACTTTTTTGTATAAAATCGCTTCAAAAACAGCATATTTTTAAAATTTCATATTTGAAATCTACATATTGATTCATGAAACCTTTTATTGAATATATGAAATTTAGATGGAAAACCAACTTCATCTGTTGAGCAAAATATGATTTAAAGTCGAAGTACTGCACAAAATGCATTACTGATGATTAAAAGTTGAAACATTATTATATGCTGTTCAGAGGCAATAGGGATAACAAATACATGGATATCCCGGAATGAGCAAATTTTGGTACATTTTTGTTGCCCATGAAAATTACGGGATAAGCTCTCAGAGGGTTAAAGACCCTAAGCACTTAAAAGATTTTGGTGCTTCTCTTTATATTTGTCTGTTTTTCCTGCCCCTTCCTTATCTTTTAGTCTTGGTTTAGCTGCATCTTACATTTTGTAGTAAAACTGGCAATGGAATTTTTTTTTTTTTTTTATGTTTCTTAGCACCTTTTCATGATGTTATCTTTCCTTGATGCCTTAAGCACATATGTAATTTGCTTAATAATCTTGATTTTTATCAGGTTTTAAAACTGTATCACAGATTAAAAAATTTATTCAAAGTATTTTAGGTTATGTCAGTGGAAATTTGTTTTCTCATTTTTTATACATATGTCATAAGTATATTTTCTCATCATAACTTCCATTTTTAAGTAATATAATAATATTATTTTATAATATGTTATGTATAATATACTTAATATTATTTTTCTATTTTTAGGTAATTCTTGATGATTTTATTTATTCATTTTTTTATTTTTCCTCTGTTAGAAGCTATGTCTTTGGAAGTATAGGACCTTCAGGTTCTCTACTTGGAAATGAAGAGCTGTTACGTTTTTTTCCGGATAAAAAAGTGTCCATTTTTATGGGAACATGGAATATGAATGGTCATGTAAGGAAAAAATTCAAAATATAGTTTTTTTGTACTAAAAACTTCTTAAATGATTTAATTATATATCCAAAAATCATGTATATCCCCCCCCTTAAAATCTGAAAAATTAAAAGAACATCTATTAAATTTTAGTTGCTCATATGAATCTCATTAACCCCAAAGCTGAACATTATATTGCTAATTAAAAATAATCTTCAGATTGTGGTATACAGTTACAAAGAAATATGCGGTAAATCAAATGTGCGTCAAAGCACCAAATGTGGTAGCCTGTTTGTATTGTGTCAGCAATAGCATCTTTGCAAGAAAACAGGAAGAATGATCATTAATCCAATAATTTTCAATCCTAGATTTTCATTTCCTTTTGTGTTGAAGTCCATGTAGTCATTCTTCACTGAATTTGTGCTCAGTGCCAAATTTATACTATTTTCTGATTTTTTCTATAGTGAAAACAAAGTGTTGTGTACGTGCAGCAGCAGTTTTATTTGCTCAATATACACAGTTTTTACTTAAAGAAGCATCAGAGAATTGCACATTTTGTAATTGTGTATGCTAAGCATTATATATGTTACCTCTAAAGTAAATGTGCACATTTCCTAGCTAATCTGCAGATTAACTGATTTGCTTTAAGTGCAGAATCAAGAATTTTCTGCATTGTACCTAACGACAATACGGAAGTCGTTACATTAACGACTTCCGTATTGTTATAGTTCAAAAGTTGTTTCTCTTATTTCATTTCCCTCTTCCTCCACTTTGCACAATACCTACTAAATACTCACTAATCTGCACATTACATATTAGGTGCTCGCTAAACTGAAAATGAAATCTTTGCTGGAACAACAGCATTGTTTCTGTATGCTTAAATTAACATAATGTTATTTATTTATTTTTTGATATCTAAAGAATCAAGTTAATACATTCAAACAGTCAACAAATTAATTGATAGAATCGATCATTAATCAATTAAAAAACTATAATACAAAGAATAAAATGGTTTAAAATATTATTACAATTAAGGAAAAACATATGATAAAATTATGTTCTCTTATTAGTGCAGTATAAAGATTGGTGACACTTTGAATTACATAGCAGTTACATAGCAGCAGAATTACATAGCAGTGCAACAAGCACACCTATTTGTGGTACATTTAAATTTGCAGTAACATTTTCTGAAACCATGTCCGATCAACAATTTAAAAGATTAATTGATAGAATCGATCATTAATCATTTAAAAAACTATAATACAAAGAATAAAATGGTTTAAAATATTATTACAATTAAGGAAAAACATATGATAAAATTATGTTCTCTTATTAGTGCAGTATAAAGATTGGTGACACTTTGAATTACATAGCAGTTGGAATTTGCAACAAGCACACCTATTTGTGGTACATTTAAATTTGCAGTAACATTTTCTGAAACCATGTCCGATCAACAATTTAAAAGTGAGGGCTGATTTAAGCCTACTTAAATTTTTCTGTTGTTCCAGCAAAGATCTTATTTTTGTTTTCATGTATACCTAGTAATGTGCAGATTATCTAGGTAGTTTATAGATTACCTAAGTAATTTGAGAAATGATATAATTTTTCACATTTTAATGGATCACCCTGGTTAATTTGCATATTAGCTCGATAATATGCAGCATAACTGATTTCCGAACTTTAGCAGTAACATATATATATATATATAATATATTTATTATATATAAAAAGTGTATTCTTTTCTTGAAGTTTTATGTATCGTTAGGATTGTGACCAACTAGTTAGATTTTGTGCTTCCATTTATGTTTATGCTAATTTGCAGATTAACTGATTTGCTCGATAACTCAAAATATAGTTTTTAACTAATCTGCAGATTTATTAGTTAATCTGCTAAGTGGTGGCCTGTTAACAGAAAAGTACAAGCTTAGGAAATGCATAATTTACCAAGGGCTGAAAAAAAAAAATGAAGAAAAACTACGGTTCTTTATTAATGCATAAATGTGAAAGAATTATACTGAATAAGAAATTCAAACTGAACAATTTTTTAATTATTTTTAGAATATGATTTGTTCTTTAATTTTCTGACAAGTTCAAAAGATATTATAAACTCTGTAAAAAATTTTCTTCTATAAATGTTGATAAATTTGCATGAATAAATTATTATAATCTGACATTTTAGGATGCTTTTTTAATTTAAAAAAGAATTTGACATGGAAACTACAGGAATTAAAAATAATTGCTCAGTTTTTACTTAACATGTTAGATGCAGCATTTGTCCCTAGGATTTAGCATTAAATGAAGAAGACAAGTTAGTACTTAATGTGTCTATGATATTCTAAAAATTAGGAATGGGGAAAACTTTAATCAAATGAATTTATTAATGAAAGAGTGCATACAAGCCACATAAAGGTATTCAGTAATAGGACATGCCAAAAGAAATATTTAGAAAATTTTACCTCATAACTTATTTTATTTTTCTTTTGATTGCATAGTTATGAAATAGATGGGGATAAGAAGTTAAATAAAGTTTTAATTGAATTTGGCAGCTAAACAATAAGTTAAAAGCAATTATAGCATTTAAATTGTCATTTTCTTCTCTCTGTTAGTACAAAATTTAAAAGCTTTGTATAGATTATTTTATTTTAAATTTTAATTTAATTTATTTATTTTTATTTGCATGTTAGCACAACCATCTTATTAGAATTCATCAATTTTCGGAATGTGCCAAACTCTGGTAATTATGCACTGAACAGTTCTTTAATTTTAACAAACAACTTTTGTTATGTTTCATGCTACAGTGGTTTTTTGTGATATCTTTTATCTCAAACTCAGTTTTGAAATATGTACTTGTGGAATGTTTAGATTTTTTACAGGAATAAGTATTTTTTACTTCCTTGTACGAAGTAAAAAGGAAGTATTGTAATCGCGAAAAGTTTCAGGCAACATATTTCAACGAAAATATCCATTTTGAGCGCTATCGAATGCAATTTAACGATGTTTTTGCGTGATATCTGTACGTAAGGACAGAATAAAGACTTTTTTTTCCTCCAAAAAAATTATAAAAACTGCTTTAAAATTAATTCTGAAGATAATTTTTTTCGTGGCGTCTGTACGAACGTATCTCGCATAACTCAAAAACGAGTAGCTCAGAACTTTGAAATTTTGTATATAGGACTGCTATAACATGTAGATGTGCACCTCGTATTTTGGTTGCAATCGGTGATCGGCCGCACCAAACTATATAAATATATATATATATATTTATATATATTAAATATATTATATATATATATAATATATTATATATATATCCACTCTGTTACCCGGCTCAGTGATCTCATTATCTTTACTCTTATATGTTTGTAAATTGTACATTTTTTTGCTTTAAAAATGATTGAATTATGTTGTTTTTATCTTCCGGTTAAGGTTTTTATGCCTTTCGTAATTCTGGAAGCAATATTTGTACAATTATCAACAATTTAAAAAAAAAGCTGTTAAAGTTTAAGTGCCGTTAAGTTTTAAATGACATGGCGGACATTATTTGTTTACATTTGAAACAGCAGAATTGTAGATTTGTTGCCAATCTAGAGAGACTAAGCTTCGCAACACAAAATAACGCATTCATTTATTATTGCGAATTAAATCATGCTTAATCCTTTCTAGAATTTTTCGAGGAAATAAGTGTTTAGAGATTTACTCGTAATTTTGAATGCAGATATTTTGAGGTTTTATGTATTTTTTGCCTTGTCGCGAAGTGAGAGCTGAATTAATTAAATGAGAAATACTAAATCGTCTGTGAAAAACTGTTTCTTTTTCTGTTTTGTTTTTTGCTTAATTTCTTTCAATACATCGTTTTAGCTTATTTTAGTATTTGAATAGAACATGTGGCAACGATAATTCTTCAAATGATATAAATTTTGTGCATTCAGAGTGTCGTTATAGTAAACAAATATCCGCGATTCAATTCACCTATAGATGGCGCTTTCACTCATTAGTATGGCGGATAAAACTCGGTATTTTGATTTCTGATCTGACTTCGTACATTCAAAAATGGAGTTACGTAGCTCTTCCGAAATGTTTGATTTTGTTCAAGGAGGCGTAAATTCTCGCTGTATTACTGAAGCAGAGAGCATTTTAAAAAGCTGATCATTTGGTAATGCACGGAATTTTACTTGAAATCCAATGTACAAGTTTTGGCTTTCTATTTAAGGATAAGTTCTATAGCGTCCTGATCGCATGAAATCGAAGGACATTTCATTGTTCAAAAAGGACAAATAAAAATTTATAAAAAAAAAAAAAAAAATTCTTGTTCATGTAAAGGAGGAACTGCTGGCTGTTGTAGGAAATTGTGTCGCTGTTTTATTGTATTGTGACAGGTAGCTGATTTTAACGTTCACTGATTGTAAACAAATGATTTCATATGTGTTTTACTTGGGATTTCTGAGAAAATCTGTGCAGTCAAAAGTGTCTTTTTTTCCCATAAAAATGATATTGAATCATTATATGTATACTAAAAAATATATTGATCTATTATATGCATCTATTGTATTTATTATACACATGATAGCACTAATCATCAAATGCAATTTTGAGAATATCAACAAGCAAAGCACTTAAAAATGAAAAAAAGACACTTGTTATAGAACTATTAATATTCTGTATGTATTATAGAAAATACATGCAATGAATAATACCATGACCAAACATTTCAAAAAAAAAAAAAAAAAAAAAAAGAGCAGATTAAGTATTACCTACCTCAGTACTTGAGAAAGCAATCCTGGCATATAACATGCAGTTAACTTTTGATTACATGATATTACAAGCATTTCTTCTTTAGTTTTGTCCTACAAGTGGTTTAAAACAACTCAATACTGGTAGTTTAATCTCAGCTCAAATCCTGGTGAACAAGCTGGCTGTTCAGTTTTTATTTTTTTGCATGTGTTTTGTGAATAAGAACCAGTTTTCCTATAAAGTTCTTCATAAAAGCATTCTTCTTCAGGCTGATAACCAATGTGCTTA